TAATGTATCCAAGAAGAACGCGTGTCCTACCCTGTCTCGTATGGAAAAATAAATTATATGGTTGAAGTGTAAAAGAAAGCATAAAAGTGAAGTAATCACTTGTCTTTTTTTAAAGGCATCAGTTTCTTTCTTTAAAAATTAGAGGCAAATACCACAGTGGTCAAAACATAAACATTAGCTAAAATTAAGATAAATTACCCCATTGACAATATTAATATGGTTCCTTGCCTGTTCAAGTACGTGAAGCATCTTGACTCTTAGCCTGAAAAAGATGATTTTTCAAACCTATCCAGAAATTTATATAAACAGTACACTCATCCCTTTTAATTTAGGAGGTTGTCTTAGGTAGATGTTTATTATGTCCAAATTTAAGGGATGAGCTAAAAATATCCTACAAGTATAGTTATGAAATAAAATTATAGCACTTTACTAAGAAAGGGATGGAACAATGTTATTTAACAGAGTATTTTATATATGACTTTTGCCAAAAAATTCTCTATGTATTTTTTTTCTTAATTCTTTCCTGTGTTAACCAGGGTTATTTTCTATTTAAGATAATCCTGCTGGAGTACAGGTACTACCCAGTATTTATTACAACATGTGAGTTGTGTTGTTTATAACACTGAACTTCTTAGAGTGTCTTACTAGAAAAGAGGAGGGGGTGAAAACCCTGTATTTTCTTGACTTCAAAACTATAGGGCAAGGGGATATAGGTTGGAATGCTCCATATTTAGTTTTTGGGATCAGACTTGTTTAGTACAATACCATGGTTTTAGACGTGTGTACCAGGAACATTTTTTCAAATACATTTTTTATATTTCAGATGTAATGCAGTGCATTTTTATTTGAATAATAAAAAAACCATAATTTTTTGAGACCATGCAGGTCTTTTTTTTTTTTTCTTTTTGAAAGTATGTGGTGTCTGTGTATGCAGACTACATGATGTATTTATTTTCTCTCATTCTTTTAAGCATGATTTAACTCTTGGAAATAACACTTGGGTTAGTTTCCCAAAATAGTTAATATCCCTAATGTGTAATCTATTTATACTACCTTCTACTCATCTTAGAGATGATTCTGTTTACTATTCCCAACAAAATGCTCATTCCCTGCCTTTTCAACACATAATTCAAAATAATCAATATATTACCCAAAACTGAAATCAGTATTTATGGAAAAGAAATTCCCCTTTCTGTTTCCCATTACCATAAATTATAATCATTTTTATTAGTAAATAAAATTAATTTTTTGGTAAGTTACTATACTTACAGTCATTTTTCTTCTGTCTTTTGACTTAGTTACCAAACATACACATTTCACAAATGTTATTTTGTATACTCCATTATTCACTTTATTTTTAAAACAGTACAAAAAGGTTTGACTAAATAGGAAAATTCAAGATCACAAAACCTTCAGATCCTTAAATCTATTTTAACTTTTATGTTTTTCAAAAATGTTCTCATTTCCACAAATCTGGTATTACAGAACATTTGAAGCATACCAAAGCATTCTTTTAGATGTTAAATTATCAGATCACTATATAAGCAAATCACTTCTGGCTCGGTGCCTTTGGCTCAAGTGGCTAAGGCGCCAGCCACATACACCAGAGCTGGTGGGTTTGAATCCAGCCCAGGCCCGCCAAACAACGGCTACAACCAAAAAAAATAGCCGGGTGTTAGGTCACCTGTAGTCCTAGCTACTTGGGAGGCAGAGGCAGGAGAATCACTTGAGCCCAGGAGTTAAGAGGTTGCTGTGAGCTGTGATGCCACGGCACTCTACCAAGGGCAACTAGCATGAGGCTCTGTCTCAAAAAAAAAAAAAAACACTGATTCACTTCTTAATCACTGTAAGATAGACTCAGTATTCCGTTCTTTCAGTGTACTGAGATGTAACCAGATGTTTCACTTTTTGCAAATTCTGGATGCTCCTGAATCTCTTTGGAAATGCACATCCCACTGATAAATGCTTACATGAAGAAGTCATGGCATCTAATTAATTCAGGTAACTGGCATTTTAGGATGAGAGCAACTGTAGTGCTTTAGTAAGACTATGTTGCACACTTTGATTGTAAAAATAAGTTGAATTTTGGGTGAGTATAGAGAAAAATTACCATTGTGGCTTTGACAAAAAGCCTTTATAATGCAACCAAGTACAGGACTAATATCTGTTATAAAGAGGTTTCACATTAGACTTCTACTTTAAATGAATTCACGCTTTTGAAAAACATAAGCCAACTTTTCATGTTCAATACTTGAAAATCAATGATAAGACAGATGACATGAAGATGTTTTTTAATAAAGAGGAAAAAAGATAATGGTACATTAGGTAGCTTTGGTTTTGAAAGGCCGTTCCTTAAATAAAAAGGAAAAAGAAATAAGACTAAATCTGATTTCAGAAGGCATTATTTGGGAAATGAGGAATCTACACGTACATGATGATGAAAGCTGCTATTCAAATATTGAATACTCTTAGTATTCCATTTCTTCACATGGGGCAGAATTCGTATCTTTTTATCCATTCTTATACAGGATCCAATTCGTGAAATCTCTACCCTTCTTTCCTACCTCCCAAAGCCCCACCTCCAGCTACCTACTATCATCACACTGTAGAGTAGGGTTTCAATGTACAAATTATAAGAGGACACAAAAGCAGTCCATCACAAGCCCCTTTCTTCTGCTCAGCACCAGGTTAGGAATTTCAGAGACTGTAGAAAGAAAATACATAGTCTCTATTTTTAAAGAGTTTATTTTAAGTTGAGAAAAACTTAATTAACTAACATTAAAGACAGGTATAATGTCAAACTTTAAAAAAGGTTTTATTATGTTGCACAAGTTCATTTGCAAAGTGTTGACCAATGTTTTCAATTGGTTTACTCATAATTTGTACCTCATTGTTTACTCTGTAACTCAAAAGATAACGTCACTACGTCACTACGTTGGATAAACAGTACCTACCTACACATTAGTGACAATACTTTTCTCTTGAGCTTTATGATTGACAATTACGTCAACATTCTTTACTAAGCAGATAGCAAGTTCTGATCATCCCCATTATATGGATTAAGACATGTATTTTTAGTAGGACACGTAAAAATAAGTGTTCATACTCAACTACATATGAAATTAGCAGAAATTAATCATAAATTTTATTTAGATCACAATATTCAAACTTAGGATACTACTTTTTAAGAGAATATAATATGGGACTACATTATGTAGCAAAAAAGGTGGACCTACAGTTGTTAAGAAGATGCCAATCCTAACCCCTAATGTAGCTCCACAGAACAAAGTCCTAACGGTTTTGAAAAAAAGCTTTAAAACTCTTGGTTTATCTGTGTTGCTATAACAATAATAATAATAATAGCATAATAAAGATAACTAAAAACCCTCCTGGTTTAGATTATGAACAGTGAATGCATAAATACGGGTTTTTAGTTTAAAGGTTTGGTTTGTATTTTCATACAACTTCTCTGTCTTTTGAATCTTAAAAGTTCAGAGTCCCTAAGCTGAGTGCCAGTGTGAAAGCATGGATGGCATTTCCTTACCCCAATTTTTAGGTGAAGAAAACTTTTCCTTAAACCTGAATAACTGAATTTATTTCTACTTTAAATCAGTAGTTGGTAAATTGGTTGCTTCTTTTCTAACTTAATGAATGGATAGGGAAATTAATAGATGTTTTCATTTAAAAAAAGTTTGCATATAGCATGTATTGTGATGGGTTTAAACACATAAAAATTCATAACATGGATTTATCATCCAGTTTTGAAGGAAGATGACTTACAGAATTCAGAGAAAAAGCTTAGCTGGTATGCTTGGTTTAGGTGCAGTGAAGGAAAAGTCACTGGAGTTGGACATTACCCAACATTTGTTGGAGGCTTCCTTTTCAGAAACCAATGTTTTACTCCTCAACACATTTTGCCTTTATGTCTAGGGATGACCCTTCTCTGAGGAAACCCCTCCATGTCATTCCAGTTTATTTGCCGTTACCAGTAACTCAAAACGAAAACCTATATAGACCACGTAGATTGGATGTATGCTTTTTAACCAGAAGACATGTAATGCTGCTCTTCAGCTCTTTAAAGCTTATATAGCATATAAGTAGGCTCTATGTAAAGAATTCATGGTACTAATATGGTGAATTACTGTGATAATTCCTGTTAAATCAGGAGAGGGTAATCTTTTATTACCCATAATGTAAGATTTTTAGCCACTCACACATGTGACTTGGGGAGCGCTTGGAAAGGCTGAGGCAGGATCATAAGGCCAGGAGTTCCAGACCAGCCTGTGCAAGACAGCGAGACCCTGCCTCAAAAAAAAAAAAAAAAGGTTCTTAAAATTAGCTTGGTTGTGGTGAGCTACTTAGGAAGCTGACGCAGGACTGCTTGAGCCCAGGAGTTAGAGAGTGCTGTGAGTTACAATCGTGCCACTTTACTCCAGCTAGATGACACAGCAGGGCTTTGTCTCAAAGAGAAAAAATATTTCCGATGGAATTGATAAACAGCAAAGAAACTCAGTTTGCAGGTAGAGCTGAAAATAACTACAACAAAGGGTCTATACTCAGACTCAGTTAAAAACACGCGCTGCTCTCCAAGCCAGCATTAGGCACTACACCTACAGCGGGTACAGAAAAAGGTGGGAGACCAGCTTCTGGTCAGAAAACCTATCCACGAGCTTAATTCCACTACAAATGACACGATCAGCTTCGATTAAAAAGAACGGAAATATCACAAGCCGAAGACTAACTTTACAAGGCGAACTCCCAGTGGAGCGCACCCGCCCAGCGCAGAGCCGCCCACACGCCTCCGGCTCCGTAGTTCCGGTCCGGTCTCCGCGTAGCTCCACCCCATCCGCGTGCAAGTTCCGCGGGTGCGCAGTAGGTTTACCCAAAGCCGCGTGGTAAGGGCGGACTTCCCTTTTGCGTAATTTCCCGTGCGACACATGACGTCACCGGCTTGCCGGAGAAGATCAAGCCCTGTTGCAGGCCGGCACTCAGGCGTCGGCGCAGGCGCGTGGCGGCCTGGGCGGACCAGCGCTGGTCCCTGGTCTGTCAGGTCCACGTGCTGAAGTTTATCGCCCCGCAGATATGCTGAGCCGGCTCGGCGGCCGGTGGCCGCGGCCACTGCCTGCCGCGCAGCTTAGGGCTGGGCGCCTGCCGCGTGTGCCGGGCCTCCAGCGCCCTGCCCTCCCGGTCTGGGCGGCGGCCTCGGTCTCTGCAGCGGGCGCCGGCGGCTGGTACGAGGCCCTGGCCGCGTCGGCGCCGGTGCGGGGCGCGGAGCAAGTGCTGCTCAGCGCTCACGCTGCCACTGGCCTGCCCTGGTGGGGCAGCATCCTGCTCACTGCCGTGGCCTTGCGCGGCGCCATCACGCTGCCCTTGGCCGCCTACCAGCACTACATCCTGGCCCAGGTGAGCGGCCCCGAACTGTGCGCGCACGCCCAGCGCCCGCCCCAGTCGGGGGGAAGGGTGGTGTCCGCCCTGGTTTACTGCCAGCTGTGCTACCTGCCGGGAGCTTAGCGTTATTCGAGACCACTTACGTGCTCAAAAGCGTGACTAGCGTCGGATGTGTTAAATAAGAGATGCTTAATGACACATGGACCTCATTTCGTTTGCATTGCTGGTCTGTACTCGAAACTCAAGCGGTTACTAAACTTACTCTAGAGAATTGAGACAAAGGAATCTCTGCAGAAGAAATTGTGTGGAGAAACCTATAGAATTACCGTCTTAAAAGTCTTAACAGCTAATATATCTGCAACATCTTTCATATCAGGAAAAAACTACTAAGTTAGTAGTTGGTGAATTTGATTTCTTATCCATGCCCGCCCACGTTCAAGCAGTCACTTTTTAGTGCTTTATTCTCTTGTCCTTGGAATCGGGATAGCACTAATTTACGTGCCTACTTCACAATGTTATGAGATCAAATCAGATAATAAGGGTTAAAGTGCTTTGAAAACAGGGAGTGGCTTTCATGTTTTCAGGTTATGATTATTAAGAAAAAAACCAGAAGCAAAAGAGGGAAACAGCAGCGTTAAGGCGGTGAGCTATTTTACCTAAAGATTTAACACAGAGCAGGAATAAAGGCAGTTTTTATTTTTTCTTTTGTGGCTATTAGACTCTAATGAAGACTCTAATAGACTGCTGTTCTCTCCGTCTACATTACCAGGAAATCTAGGGATCAAGTAGCAAAGCCCAGGATGCAGTTATCTTTTAATCCTTATAACCCTGTGAAATAGGTGCTATTATTTATTGTATGTATAGGTGAGGCAACAGGATTTTATTTTTTATTTTCATTTTATTTTACTTATTTTTTGGCAGTAGGATTTTAGAAGCTAAGTTACTTGCCCAGGATCACATATCTTAGTGTACAATTTGAATTTGGTTGTGATTGAGGACATTTTAACCCAATAAACATCTTCTGCTTGGATTTAAGGTTTCTTTCTTTTTTTGAGACAGTCTCACTTCATTGCCCTTGGTGAAGTGCTGTGGTGTCACAGCTCACAGCAACCTCAAACTCTTTGTTTTGAGCCATTCTCTTGCCTCAGTCTCCCAAGTAGCTGGGACTACAGGTGCGTGGCTATTTTTTGGTTACAGTTGTTTAGCTGGCCCTGGCCAGATTTGAACCCGCCACCATTGGTTTATGTGGCTGGTGCTGTAATCAGTGTGGTTTCTTGACATAGTAGACCAGATTTTTAAATGTATTGAGGCAATAGATAGTAAAATTTTGAGTATGAATAGCAGTCCTTTATGTGCTCTTAACAAATTCTACTTTTTCTTTAGCTAGGTGGAAAATTTGCAGCCAGAAATAAAAACCATTGCCAGACATCTTAACCAAGAAATTGCAATTCGTGCAAATCAGTTGAGGTGGTCCAAAAGAGTTGCCAGGTAAAGTTATTCTTTGCAGATAAGGCCATGAATGAATGAATTAATTAATTTATAATGTGTAAATAATGATTTTAATTATGGACTTGGGCCTTCTGTAGCTTTGACCGTAGTTATTTTGCTCTTTCACATTTTAGTAGGTCACTATGTGGCGTGACAGTTTTGTATATGGGACTGAAAGCAAAGACAGAGACAAAGAAGAGCAGGTCCCTGAAAAGACAGACCTATAATGAAATAACCACGGTGGTGAATTAAGTACTAGATAAGATTACGCTCAAGAAGCCAGGTCCTCCGGAATGTCAGGGAAGCCCTCACAGGATGACAACTCTTTGCCATTCTGTTGTGATATTGGTCAGCAAATGTCGGCTGTTCACAAACTTGAAAAGATCCATGTACAGCAGGTAGCAGGCTACAGGAAAGGGGAAGGCAGAAATCCTGAGAGCTGCAGTAGCAGCCCTTGGATAGCCATGGTACTGTCCATCAGCTGTGGTTGTCCTGTGTAGTTATCTGCCTTAGAAAATCCTTGTCACAGAGTGCTTGCCTATACCCAGTGATGCCTGTAGCCATTCACTGGGAACTTCTGCATCTCCCTGCTCCAATCCCCTAAGCTGCTGCTTGTTCACTTTCCCAACTGATCCTAGATTGTGAGTGTTCAGTTCGCAGCAATGAGACAGATACGGGCTTTGTGGTATGAATATATATCATCTATATTTTTATTATCCGTGTATTTTTTATCTATGTAGGTGTAAATTTGCCAACTGTGTTTAACATGAGATTGCATCCATCTTTATTTGGTGTTAAAAAGACCTGACATTAAAACAAAAAAAAAAAATTGTGATAGCTTAGTCTTTATTTGATAAAAATTAAAAGTTGACAAACCTGTAGTTTTGAAATTTTACTGATCAGAGAAATCTGAAAACTACAGCCAAAGGCCAAAACCAAAAAACCCCCAAATCAGTAGCTGCTTACCTGGATTATAAAAGCAGCCTAGACGAGACATGTGGCCTTGCTTGCACAACTCGGCAGGGTGACTGTCTGGATACATCTGTGCATGGATGAGCGGCTTTGTAGAAAGATACATCTGAGGCTTCCTGCATTTTTCACTGGTACCTGGTCTTGAGTGGTGAAAGGGAGTTTGTCAGGTCTACAGCCCAGTCAGCGGACTATCCACACTGGTGATAAATACAGTGTTCCTAGAGGTGGGAACCTGATGTGGAAGTCTGATTTGTGGTTTGTTTTTGTTTTGTTTTGTTTTTTGATTAAAGTTTGCAAAAGTTTTGAATGCCTGTGTTGTATATAATGTGCAAGACATTTAAAGGTGAGTAAGATTCAACACTTTCCCTTTAAGGAGACTACAGTCTGGAAAGTAAGACTTCAGGCAAAAATAGATGTAACTAACATAGTTAATAGAGAAACAGATTTTAAAAGTCTTTGCAGAAGAATTGATTGAAAAACAGCTATCATTTTGACAGGCTAAGAGTATAAATAATACAAAAACCACATAACTACAAAAGGTATATTTAGAGATTAAGTGATTAAGTTTGTCTGCAGTGAAGAGATTTAAGTAAATCGCACTTTTAGCTTCAGTATGTTTGATATTAATTGAGATCATACCATGTCAGTAAAATTTCCTCTGTTGAAGCCTTATTGGCTAAAGACCTCCAGGGAAAGGCTGTAGTCAGCAGCATCCGGCCTGTCAGACTGCTGTGTGGCTTGTGTGTGTTGCTGTGGAGTTTGAGAGAAAGAGTGGCTTTGTTCACCCTTTGTTTAGACGGTCCCTTAACACAGTGGGACTACTAACACCCCCACTCAAATCCTTTAGCCAGTAACCGCAGCAGGGATTTATTTGAGCCATGCGGATAAGGCACAATTAATAGTTAAATGACATTTTCTCTTTTCCCTTCCCTCCATGTAGGCTCACTTATCTAAAGCACATGAGGAGGTTTGTTTCAGAGCTGTATGTTCGGGATAACTGCCACCCTTTCAAAGCCACTGTGCTGGTCTGGATCCAGCTCCCAATGTGGATCTTCATGTCTGTTGCTCTCCGGAACCTGAGCACAGGGGCGGCACATTCAGAAGGTAATTGTTAGAAAGCGCTGTTTCTCCCAAGTAAGTTCTCTAACATGTCCTTGTGCTCCAAAAGAAACCATACTTTTTATAATTAGAATACGTTTGCTATGTTCTTTATAAGCGAATAGAATTTGACACATTTTTAAGTGTAAAAATTTAAAATCTGTAACTGTTCACAGACTAACATTTTGTGTTGAAGAAAAAAGTTGTGCACGAAACTAACCTGAATAAATCCAGGGCAAATCTTTAGTGTAAAGAACACCTTATTAGAATTGGCAACTACTTGTATATTTCTCTCTGCTATTTTTAGGACTTCTGTTACTTTATTTATAAAACTGTTTCAGCAGGTTTTTCTGTTCAGGAGCAGTTGGCTAATGGTGGGGTCCTATGGTTTCCTGACCTTACTGCTCTGGATTCCACATGGATTCTGCCCGTCTCTGTTGGTGTTGTCAACTTATTAATAGTGGAGGTCAGTGGTTTTAAATGAAATTTATTTGCCATTGAAATCACTGGGATTTTTGTTCTAACATTAAATATACATTAATGTTTGAGTTGGTGGAAATACCTCTGAACTAGTATTGACACTCTTTAGTTTCTTGTCCCACATCAGAACTCTCATAATTAAAATAAGAGCACTGAATAAGAACACTTTCAAAGTCTTTTTCAGCCTTAAAATTATTCTGAAAACAATGTAATATATACAGTTGTGATTAATTAAGATGCCCCATCAATGAAGTCTATTAAATAAATTTATTCCCGCAGTGTTTAATATTTGATTTTCTAAATAGGGAACATAGTACCGCACTGTTACTTTTGCTGTGTGGCCTTCACCAGATGAAGTGGGGAAAGCACATACGTGTACAGTGTGCCCTGCCCGCCATCCACCCTTCGTCCCACGGTGCGGGACTCAGCGTTTAGGGAGAATATGCCTGTGAGCTCATGTGTGTGTGTAGTGTACATGCAGGTGCAGGCCTGAGCAGGGACATAAAGCCTCTGATTTCATAATGAGTTGTTCTAACACTCTGAATAGAACATGGACTCAACTGGACTAAACACGATTTACCTCAGTTACAGTCTCACAGACTTCCTGTCCACTCATCTAATATACTGGGAAATGTAAGGTCTCAAGTGCAAGTTTCTTGAGGAAAGACTTCATATGTATCCAGATGTGTTTTCTGAGAGCTTGTATCTCAGTTCTCTGTGGTTGGTAGTCAGTGACTGTCCCGTAAATCAACACAAGGTCACAGTGAACTGATGTCAGTCCTCTGGTCTATTCTTTCATACCATCTAAAGACTGATATGTAAAAGCTCATTCTTTCTTATAATATGTGACAGCATTGTCATGAGCAATTTATATGAATCAGCTAATTCAATTCTTAGAATAACCCTGTAAGCTTGGTATTATTTTTATTCCCTTTTAAGATGGAGAAAGTGAGGCAAACAAAAGTTGCATGGCCACCAGAAATGCAAGGCTGACATGTGAAACTAGGTAGTTTGACTTAAAGAGTTATGAGCTTGTTGGTAATAATTATACAGAATTCTTACATAAAACTTGAAGAATCCCTTGAAGGTAGGTACTATATATGAATCATTGCCCTGTGTTTTTGGTAACAAGTATTTTAAAAGCTCCATTTAAGAATTTTGCAGTTATTAAGTTTATTAAGAGATGATCAAACGAGGTACACACTCATCCCAGCTATTTGGAAGCTAAGGCAGGAGGGTCCCTTGAGCTCAGAAGCTGGAGACCAGCCTGGGCAACATAAGCCAGACCCTATCTCAAAAAAAAAAAAAAAAAATCCATCAGTCATTTAACTTTTTTTGCTTTTAATAAAGTAGAGGTGGAAGCCTGTCAAAAATAAGTTTGTATTTTAAACCTTACTGATTTAATATATATTTTAACGATCATTGTGTCTGTATGTCTTCTACCCCTTTAGATTTTTGCACTACAGAAAATTGGAATGTCCCGTTTTCAGACGTACATCACCTACTGTGTCCGTGGGGTGTCAGTGTTGATGATTCCAGTTGCTGCAACGGTCCCTTCGGTGAGTACACACTAACATTGTGTGTGGCGTGTGCTGGACCTCCATGCCCTGAGCTTACCCTGGCTGGTGCTCTGACTCTTTACTGACCTCCCTTATTGATTTCAGAGTTTGGGGGATAAATAATCTACTGTCTCTGTCACCAAATAACACTTGAGTGTTTTGGGGGGTGGGTTAATCTTCTTTTATGTGAATGTCTCTTAACTCTTCCTCTAAATCAAACTCCGTTTTTCTGTGTTTTTTTAGTCTTACAAAGTATCTTTCATAATACCATGTACATAGTATTGCTTTGCTTGATAAATACATTGAATTATTCCTGCCTATATAGACTGGACAAAGAATTTTAGCATTTAAGAAAGAAACAAAACTTTGTGCTAAGCCCATATTGGTTCATCTACAATATTATTTAACCTCAGAATGGGCCTATGAGATAGATACACTTGTGTCTGTTTGTGCATAATTAAACTTATGCTAGAAATGGAAAAAAGAAATGGTAATATTTGCAGTTACTTCAATTTGCATTTTTCCACTAATACTTTAGAAGTTGCTGAGTAAAAGCTGTCTCCGGGATATCTCTGGTTTTGCTCAGAGCTGACACGCAGACCATAAAGTAGAATCCAGTTGTTTTTAGTAGTCAGGTCTGTACTTCATAGCAATTTTCTAGGAATCTAAAGAATTGTTTCTGGCTTGAAAATCTTTTCTAAGCTTTCACTGGCTATAATGTTACCACAAGTCCTTTGTAAAATCATTTATCTCTGAGACAGACACACATAATGTCCTGAGAAATAATGCAGTAACATCAAGTACCTGTCATGGTGCTTCTCACTTCACAGTGGCGTTTTCGGGAAGGAGAGTAATTTGGATTTCCCTGCGCTTCTGCAGAGAACAATGCCGTGTAACTGAAGAGACCCACGGGTGTAATCAAGTAGGGGCTATGACCTTTCAATAAGTGAGTGGGTTTAAAGTGACTAACAAATATCTAAAACAGTACCATAATTAACCAAATTTATTTATTCTCTCCAATATAGAAATTCAAAGCAGGTAGTTTGGGGGTGGTGTGGCAAGTCTGTGAAGGCATGAGAGACCCAGCCTGCTGTGTCTTTCTACCCACAGGCTGAGATTTCTGCCGTCTAGGCCACAGGCCATGGTCATGACGACTGCTGGAACTTGTTACCTTGCAGGAATGACACGGCTGCTTTGGGTGCGGTCACCTCCTTTACAGGAGCCTGCCTGATGTCCCACCAGTCAGCGGTGGTGACTTCATCATTATGTGGTCTGACCTCACTGCAGAAGAGGCAAAGAAAGATAGTCTTTGTCAGGTAGCAACATACCCAGCTAAAAATCAGGATTTTGTTACTAAGGAAAGGGGTTGGTAATTAGATGGCGGCTAATGGTTTGCCATAGTTGCACTCAGGTACTTTTTTGGTTGGTAGATAAGTCAGGTAATAATAATATCTGATATTTATTCAGTGTTGACTTTGGGCCAAGCCCTGTTTTAAATGGCTTGTGTATATGACCTAATGTAGTTCTGCTCCTACAGTGCAGTGAGGGAGGCACTGTTAACAGTCACCACTTCGATGTTGAGGAAACTGAGCCACAGGGAGGTTAAATGACTAACCTGAGGTCACTTAGCTGTTAAATGGCAGTCCTAACACACATCCAGGCAGTCTGGCTCCTGTTCTTAACTGTTGTGCTAATCTCCTTGAGGATGTGCTGTAATACTTCCTCCCCCTAAAGACTGACTTTGGCACAACTGACAAGAACAGGTGTTGGATGGGGGCCACAACTGTACTGCTCTCTGTGAGCCATCTCACTTAATTGTCACCACAGTCCTCTGAGGCAGAGATAGCTACTCTCCCCCTTTTATAGATGAGGAAACTGAAATAAGAAAAATATCTTCAGGCCAGGTGCAGTGGCTCACACCTATAATCTTAGCACTCTGGGAGGCCAAGACGAGTAGATTGCTTGAGCTCAGGAATTCAAGACTAACCTGAAAAAGAGTGACACCCCCATCTCTACAATTAGCCAGGTGTGGTGATGGGCACCTGTAATCCCAGCTACTGGGGAGGCTGAGGCAAGAGGATCTCTTGAGCCCAAGAGTTTGAAGTTGCTGCAAGCTGTGATACCATGGTACTCTACCCAGGGTGACAGAGTGAGACTGTCTCAAAAAAAGAAAAGAGAAAGAAAGAAAAATAATTTCCTTAAATAAATGACAAATAGGATTCAAATCATAGGCAGTTTGACTCTTATCACCTGGACTCAGAAACTACATGGTTTTGCTTCTAGGGTTCAGTTACGTTCTGATGTCAAAGAAAAATTTGGAACTGATGTATGTGTAAGAGCGGTTTGAAAAACTATGGAACTCAGTCAAAGACCTAAATAGTCTGGATGTTAATACAAAAAAGGTGAAGATACTCCTGAGACTATGTGTCTCAGAAGCCAAACAAAATGCATCCCTGACAAGAGAAACATTTCTGAGAAAAATTTGGAAGATAGACAACTATCTGGGGAAAAATAAGGTTGAGGGAGGCTACGTTTGCCGTCCTAAATGGCCGCGCCTGCAGTGTCCCGCCGTCAGGATAAGCAGCTTGCCAGGACTCCTGGTGGGACAAACTCCTCTTAGTTGCCAAAGATGAGATGAGAGCTCTCTTGGCCTCTGCTGGGGAGCTCCTTTCTGTCACTACACTCTGCTCTATGTACCTCTCTCTCTGCTTTTTTGTTCTTTCTTTAGAACTCCTCTTGTCTGTCAGGTCTATCAGGGGACCTAACAGCTGCTGCCCGTCCTGCTTAGTTGTGGTGGGCTTATATTTACAGAGATGGTGGTTTTGGTTTCTATTGCCTGCCTGCCTCTGGACCATGGTGTCCTTGCAGAATGGTGCTAACGTTCGTGTCTTTTCTTTATAGTCACTTGCTCTCTACTGGTTGTGCTCCAGCCTCATGGGCCTTTCACAGAACTTGCTGCTGCGTTCTCCTGGATTTCGCCGACTTTGCAGAATACCGCTGACCAAGTCAGATTCAGAAACTCCCTATAAAGACCTATTAGCTGCTTTTTATGCCAAGATCATTTCCAAAAAATGACATATTTCAGTAATTTTCAAGCAGTTATAAGTGTTACTATCACCATCATGTGTGTAGAGATTCCAGTATTATTTAATTTGCCTTTGTTTAAAATTATGGACTAAATGAAATACTGTAAGTTGAGACATATTTCTGAACACAATTAAATCTTTCAAGTGCTAGAAATGTATGTTTTTTTTGTTTTGAGATAGTCTCACTCTGTGTCCTTGGTAGTACTGTGGTGTCACAGCTCACTGCAACCTCAGACTCCTGGGCTTAAGCAATCCTCTTGCCTCAGCCTCCCGAGTAGGTGGGACTACAGGCACCTGCCACTATGCCTGGCTAGTTTTTCTGTTTTTAGTAGAGACAGGTCTGGAGGTCTCGCTCTTACTCAGGCTGATCTTGAATTCCTGAGTTCAGGCAATCCCCCCACTTCGGTCTCCTAGAGTGCTAGGATTACAGGTATGAGGCACTGCACCCAGCTGTATGTTTAATTCTAAAAGACTATCAAGGTGGAATCAAAATGTCTGTCCTTGTTTATAAAATTACACTTCATAGGGGCTCAGAACTTTGAAGAACAGAGTTAGAGACTGAATGGTGTCAAATTATACTAATACATAAAAGCTTGGAAAATAGGAGAATTCAGTGAGGTGATTTAGAGGTAGGGAGGATTATTGACCTATTTGAGCACCTGATCAAAGGCTGTTATGATTTCCTCTGCAGAACAATCCTTAGGACTCACTATTGGGAACGCCACTGACACCCTGAAGGTCTTCTGGCAACTCCTGCTTAAGAAATACTGTTGTATATCTCCGTTGTACGGTGAACAAAACTCCCCTAAAGCTTCTGCACTCCTCTGCACTTTTCCTTTCCTCTACTCCCCTGGGGACTCAGGATGGCTGAAGGTGGAGGACATTAATTTGTACTTACAGATTATTACGCTTCTCCTATGTAGAAATAACTTTACCTTCACACACAGCTGACGAGACCGCCCACCACCTGCCTGCTCTGTTCTGACAGTCAGTGCTGCTTGCTCACCCCACTTACTCGCCGGCTTGCTGTCTCTGTCATCAAAGCTAAGAGTACCATCCACTGACAACTCTGCCCCTCAGCTGGTTCCTCTGCTGTGTTAGATAATAATTTCCTTCCCACCCTTCAGGAGTAAGTTTTTCTTTTTCTTTTTCTTTTCTTTTTTAATTAAATCATAGCAGTGTACATTAATACTATCATGGGGTACAGTGTGCTGTTTCTAAATACAATTTGAAATACTTTCATCCAACTGGTTAACATAGCCTTCATGTCATTTTCTTAGTTACTGTGTTAAGACATTTATATTCTACACTTAGAAAGATTCACATGTACCTTATAGGAGGAACCATAGGCGTGATCCCACCAATCACCCTCCCTCCACCCATCCCCCCTCCCCTACCTCTCCCCTTTACCCATATTCTTGGGCTAAAATTGGGTTATAGCTTTCCTATGAAAGCTATAAATTAGTTTCATAGTAGGGCTGAGTACATTGGATACTTTTTCTTTAATTCTTGAGATACTTTGCTAAGAAGAATATGTTCCAGCTCCATCCATGTAAACATGAAGGAGGTAAACTCTCCATCTTTCTTTATGGCTGCATAGTATTCCATGGTGTACACATACCACAATTTATTGATCCATTTGTGGGTCGATGGGCACTTTGTCTTCTTCCATGACCTAGCAATTATGAATTGGGCTGCAATGAACATTCTGGTACAAATATCTTTACTGTAGTATGATTTTTGGTCTTCTAGATATATACCTAGTAGAGGAATTATAGGATCAAATGGCAGGTCTATTTTTAGTTCTCTGTTCTCCAGATGTCTTTCCAGAAGGAACCTTATTAGTTTGCAATCCCACCGGCAGTATAGAAGTGTTCCCTTTTCTCCATAACCACGCCAGCATCTGTGATTTTGGGATTTTGTGATATGGGCTAATCTTACTGGTGTAAAAGATTCCTATTTAACAAATGGAGCTGGGCGAACTGGCTGACGACCTGCAGAAGACTGAAACTGGATCCACACCTTTCACCACTAACTAAGATAGACTTTCACTGGATTAAAGATTTAAACTTAAGACATGAAACTATAAAAATACTAGAAGAAAGTGTTGGGAAAACACTTGAAGAAATGGGCCTGAGTGAAAATTTTATGAGGAGGACCCCCTAGGCAACTGAAGCAACATCAAAAATACACTACTGGGACCTCATCAGATTAAAAAGCTGCACAGCCAAGAACACAGTAAGTAAAGCAAGCAGACAGCCCTCAGAATGGGAGAAGATACTTGCTGGCTATGTCTCCGACAAAGGTTTAATAACCAGAATCCACAGAGAACACAAACATATTAGCAAGAAGAGAACAAGTGATCCCATCTCAGGGCGTGGGATAGCTAGGGTGTTGGGTAGCAGAGAAAGCTGACACATGTATCTAGCACAGTGGTTCTCAATCTTCCTAATGCTGTGGCCCTTTGATACAGTTCCTGTGGGTCGTGATGCACAGGTTGAGAACTGCTGATCTAGAGAGAAGCACAAAGATGAGTCTAAGAGATCTCACAGTCCCCATCCCTGAAGGGGTAGGGTAAATAGGCAGAATTTTAGAGTTTTGAAATTTTAGCTTTAGTTTTCTATTGCTACAAGTGGCAAATTATCACAAACTCAGGGATTTAACACATATTTACTGTCTTAACAACTATGGAGGTCGGAAGTCTGGAGTGGGTCCACAAGCTGCGTTGCTTCTGGGGCTCCAGGAGAGTAGGCATTTTACTGGCCTCTCCAACTTCTAGAGTAAGGATGTCCCACCTTTTGGCTTCTCTGGGTCACATGGGAAGAAGGGTCGTCTTGGGCTGCACATTAAATACACAAACACGAAGGAAAGCTGACAAGCAAAAAAATAAGGGTCTGTGAGTAATTTTCATGATATGCACCTCCACAAAGGAGCACAAAAAGTCGGCACATAACAAGCCTCATTAGGCAGTGGCTTATTCAGAGAGGCTTTGAGTTTAGAGACTAGGCAGTGGCTTATTCAGAGAGGCTTTTAAAATAGAGCAAGTCCCAGGTTTGTGATTACTAATACAGAAAATGTACATATCTAAGTAATAAAACATCTAGGCTTTTTGATTTTTTTAATAACAAAAGTGAAAGAAAACTTGGCAACATAAAACCAGTGGGATGTGTGACAGTCTGTTTGAGCCACTGATGCATCAGTGTCTGGCTGGATGGAAGTAGCTGCAATTCTCAGGAGTTCTCAAGGTGCTCACCAGATATTTTGGTTTTAACTTTACTCCGAATGTACTTCATTCCTGAAAATAGTTGCTCACAAGTGTAAGTGCTAGAAAAATGCAATGGCATTGATAAGGCAGGATGGAGAAGCAAGGGATGTGTCTCTGGGAAGACAGGACGCCTATGAAAGTCCAGTAAAGAGACCTGATCTGATTTCTCTTCAAGTCGAACAGCAGATGGTAGCTCTGTGCATTCTATTTGAAAACTGGCTGGTAACATATTTATGTTTGAAAATGGAGTTGCAAATGTCCCAAAATGTTGATTATTTTCCAGGAATCTTGAAATATTTTCAAATTCTTATACCAAATCAAAAAGCTGGGCTGCGTATTTTTCACCGTTCACAGGACAGTGTTCAGCTGTTTAGCCAACGTGTGAAAAGACATAAAATTGCTTCAATTTGAGCTTGCCATAATTGCAGTTTCATTTTGAATGCTGTTATGAAACATTGCATTGATACATAAGTAAGTTGGTTTTCACCTTGAAGACACACGTGTAACTCATTTAAATAAGCAGTTAAATCCACTAAAAATGCTAAATCTGTCAGCCAGTTTTCATTGCCCAGTTCAGGAACAATTTTCTTTTTGATGCCATAAATGATAGCATTGCAAATCATAAAATCTTTTCAACACTTGTCCTCAACGTAGCCATCAGTACTGTTAGTGAGTTCTTGGGCTTGGTGATTCAGCCCCTGCCACCTGTGCGGTTCCTCCTGCCCCGATGGGGGTCTTCGTGTCCTTTCTTGTGCACTGCAGGGAAGCTCAGTGAAGGGACTGGCCGCCTGGATCTACATACCCTACTTCCAGTTTGTGCACCCACCTGCTGGCTCTCAGGGCAAGATTGCACAGTACACTGTTTCTCTCTGGATAGCCTAAATCTCCAAACCATTTTCTTCTGGGGGCACTTTTTTTTATTACTGTTTAGCTAACAGTTTGGCAGCCATGGTGGGAGGTCACTTAGCTTCGTTCTTGGTTGCCATATGATTCAAGCACAAGGGAACACTGTTGGATGCCTGGAGGAATGCTCAGAGGGAAAGCATTGAAATACAACTTGGTCACTGTTACTGTGGAAGCAGAAGGCTGTGACAATCAGTAAGAGGAATCATTAAAAGGAAATTGGGCATTTGTTCCAAGAAGTGTTTTGTCCCCCCCCCCCCCACTGGAGAAGGCCTGCCCTCTGTGGATGGGGTTACAGTCCTGTCCTTTTTTCTCACCTGGAAGAAGGCACAGCAGAGCTGGACAGGAAGTCCATCAGTTCTCTGCTTCGGGGATGAACTGTAATTTAACTGGTGTGATATCCGCAGGTGAGAATTTAGGAAGAGCTTCCTTTCCTACCTGTTTTTGCTTCATCCACGTGGGTGGCTTCCAGTTATAAACTGTAGCCCAGGCCCACATAGCCATGCTTTCCTCACAGAGAACCTCTTCCAGTCTGCTCCTTGAGCCCTGCCACCGTCCCTTGGCTTCCTACTCCTTCTTCCTCTCCCCTCCTGCTCCCAGCCTACTCTGTAGTAGGGGTCCCTGAAATAATTGTCCAACTCCGTTCCCTAAGGTGTTTGCTACTAGATGGGGTCCAAAAGATAGAGGAGAGGATATACATGGTAGTCTAGCTTGAGAGTAAAATATTCTTTTAAAAAAGATCAGATGCTTCATATTGTGAAGGTTTATGTCCTACCAACACATTCCCCTCCTTCTGTATGTTTTTCGTTTTTTGGGTTTTTTTGCAGTTTTTGGCCAGGGCTGGGTTTGAACCCACCACCTCCGGGGCCAGCGCCCTACCCCTTTGAGCCACAGGCGCCGCCCTCCTTTTGTGTCTTGTTATGTTAGAGGACTGCCTTCTACTCAGAACAGAA